TTACTGGATTGATAGAGGCTGCGTCTACAAATAGACGGACATCAGGGATTTCGATTCTTGGGGGCATATGTTTGCCCTTTCGTGAGCCCCTTTCTCCTGATTAGAAATAAGGAATGAGGGAAAGTGAGCGGAGTGTGAAAGTTCACTGCGAACTTCAACAAGCCACTGGCTTTTCCGGCCTCCAATTTGCCCTTGTGGAATATTCGCTAGGCATTGAGATCACTTCATTTCACTCCATTGCCCAAATGTGTTCTTTACTTGGGCTATTCGAGTACATACCATTCACCTGTGCTGACAGTGAGGTGATTCCAAGTACTGCTCTTGTTGGGAACCGGCCAGCCTAACGTTTTTGTTTCTGTCCAGTCAGGCTATTTATCCGATAGGGGCTTTGCTCAAAGTGGCATAATGTGGCATTATAGTCGCCCAGTTGTCCCAGTATGTTATTATCTGGATGTCATTAACATACAACTGCCACTACTTTTCATTACTCACTACTAGACCCATAGGGTTTCCTGTCTCCCATTAATTATCCTTGTCCTGTTTACTTTTTATCCGATCCCACAGGCTGTTTCATGTATACCAGTAACGTCGCATATGTTCAGACCCACTTAGGTGGGAAGAACCCTCACAACTTGACTAAGTACATAGTAAAGTCGATCGCTGTGAGTTGGGTTCCTTGACCAGATTCTTTACTGATCCCATTGAATCCGAGGGCAGTTCGATGAGGCCTGACACGCGACGGTTGGCGATTGGTAGTGCTTGGTCCATTCGCATTGGACTAGTTGTGAAATGAGTCCGACAAGGATAATTAGCGTTTTTATGGCGAGAATTTTTATGCGACATGCCAGCCAGCGTTAAAGAGGCAAATTGACTCTGTTTGCCTACAGTATCCTTATGGACGCAGACGTAGCTTTCGGCCCGTACTACAGGCCTATCCTTACAGAGAAAACCATAGTACGGTAGATGGTAGCGGGTTGGATAGTAAGCTGTCGATCAGGCATGTGGCCGGTTTGATTCTAATTTTCGGTCGAAATGCCCACATTGCCTAATTCCATCCCGAATTCAATTAGATTCGGATACGTTGCGTGGTTTGCCCGCACGCATGGCAATGGCCGATCGATTTCTATTAAATTAACGCCCATTAATGGTCTCTTCAATGATTGTAATGTTCTTCAGCTAATGTTTCAGGGACATGAGTACGGAGAAACCCTTGGGAAGTTAGTCCAAGGGTGCTCGGAAAGGTTCTCTATTCCATTCCTTTGATGAATGTCAGGGGTCTGAAATGAGGTGACATTGGGATGCGCCACGAAGATGACTTCTGCTCAGATTTGTGAGGAAGATTTTGGGCATGCAACCAATTGCGAAATATTTTGACTTTTTTGTCAATATTTTTATTCTTCCTACGTCTGCCACATCACGCACCTCCGGTTTCTATTTCGTTGTCGTCACCATAGTTACTCACGTAACGTATGGCTCTTCGAAAGCTCCTTGAAATTCAACGCTTAGCTGGACGATGACTTCAATAAAAACACCTCGTGGCCCCGAAAAAGCGCATTTGGTTCAGCGCAAAAGGCGCTCTCTCTGGTAAACCATGCTGCTTGATAAATCTAATCGCAGAAACTTAGTGGCAAGGGTATTCTGATTACTGGTGGATAACTTGGAGGGGATGTAATCACCGAGGTTTTCTCTTCTGAAGCAAATGAATGGTGGACTCCTTCAGAGGTAGGGAGCGAACACGGCCTTGATTTCTGAATTCTATGTAATAGACATTCTAGCTTTTACTCAGGAAATCTAATCCAAAGACATTGGGTGCCAATAACTTACGTGTATGGATGAAAACACACTGGCGTTCCTGAGCTTTCTTTTGCTTTCTTCACTGGAAGAAGAGTTCGTTGGGTACTTCGTTCCGCAAATATTTCGCTAATTTTCGGCAAAATTTCTCTGAGAATCAGGGCATGGTACGCGAAGGACCATTCTCACGTTTTGTCTATTGCTTTGGGCTTTAGCTGGTCCTGAGAATTGGATATGTTCGACAAAAGGGCAAGTTTTTTCGGTGGTAGCAATGATCCGGTTGATCCGGGCGCCAGGCAGTTGTTCCTTTTCGGGATGCGCCATGCAAACTTCTTCCTTCAAGAGCTACAGTGACAGTTGCATGTATATTTGCATTCAATAGTGATCACAGAATGATACCGCACTCACAAGTAAGTAAATAAACCGTGTTTTGGGTTCAGTGTTGAGCCACCTTTGGCTTCCTTTTTAAACACATAAGGGTTAATGTTCCAAGCACTCAGGTAGTAAATGAGTGGGCATGGGTGAAAGGATTGCTTGGTTCAGGCTAGGTTCGAGCTCGTTGACCGTGTGGACTTAGAGAGCCCCCTAAATTTGCTTTTATTCTGCTATCCTACTCGTTAGTTTCTTGGCTATACTTTTTCTTGTTTTCGGGTTCGTAAAGAGAATGTTTGACTGGGAAAGACCACTCAAGAATCATAGAATTATAGATTTTCAAAATTCGTCCTTGAAGTTTTCGATACCAACTATACCTTTCCACCGGTTCAGGCGACTTTCTAAGTTTCATGAATTAAAGACTTCTGAAGATCATTTTTCTATTCTGATGAGCTTAATTGCATGGCATTACATATACATGAACATTTGATGGCTGTAGCTAAACCAGTTATTAGGTATGTTGCTTATACTAATGAATTCTCCTCATGGAACAGGCCTGATCCTGAATATAATGAGAAGGCTGTCCTGCATCCGGTCGTCAGAGTACACAAAAAACCTATTCAGTGGTAATGAGGTGAGATTCCTAAGATTCGCTCTGCTTCTACAGTAGTCAGAAGCTATGTAGGTGAAGTCTCACTGGCTCGGAGTCGTGCAGTCGTCGGAAAGGGTAAGGGATTACATTGCGCCATAGAGAGTTGACTCTAAGGGTGGCATATGGGGCGTCGTCGGGTCGAAATACAAACTGAATAGGGCGGAGTAAGGCTCGAAGCCGGCTCCGTCGACGTCCACACCCAGAAGCGGGCCTGTTCTAAAGGCCTTATATTAGGTGCACTATTCACAGTGGAGCAGGTTTGTTGACAATTCAGAGGCCTATCTTTTAGTGCTTTTAATCTTGGCTTTGGTGGGGAGCATATTTGGCAGCAGGGGTACTGTAGCCAACAGCCAACCCTTATGCAATTGCACACCACTGAAATTTCGTCGAAATGCCCTTTTCTTCGTCATAGTCTTGTACAACCCCCACATTTAACTGGTTCTCAGAAGTCTTATCATACATGAACTCCTTCCTTGGATTTCCTTGCTTTCTTACCCTTCGTTGCACTATTTGTTATAACACTTCCGTTCTTGACTTCAGAGAGGGAACTTTGGAGTAATCGCGACCTGTGCTTTCAAACAGAGTAATAATTGGCTCTGAGAAATTTGTCCTTTGTTTTCATGAAAAAAAAAAGATTTTTCTAGGTCGGACACACCCGGACAACCACCTACTTCTTATTTTGGTAGAGTTAAGGGAATGGTGTCCCCTAATCATCTTCCTCGTCTTTGAAGCTACGGGCGGTCATACACGTATCCATGACTTTCTCCAACTTTATACTCTGGTCTTTAACATCATTACCCACCTGGGAAGTTCATGATGCCTAAGTTGGTAGAAGAATTTCTGAGTTATCCAAGGTACCTATGGCTTACTGAAGGTTTGATCTTTGGATTCTTGTCCCAGCAAATGATGTTAGAGTAGTCTGTACAAATAATAATCCAATGAAGCCATATTTGGGCAAAATAGAAAATGCGATGGGACTCGATTAACCCGGCTCCGTAATCTTTGATTGTTCCGCTCCAGGAACGTTCTAGGAATTTTGAGAGCTAGTTTAAAAGTTTACGGCATTGTCTAGTTACGGCTCATTCCAAATGCCATTGTAAATGAGCCATGTCCAGACAATGCGAAGGGCTCGTAGACTAGCTCCTTAGGTGTCATTCATGTCTTTTCAACATCATTATTCCGGCCACAGCTCCAGCACGAGGATATGGGGGACACCATGCCCTCCGTTGTTCCAAAATAATACAAAGGCAATTGTCAAGTTTGAAGCCCTTGACACTATTGATGGGAAGTGCTCCCCCTCGCAGAACTTTTGGGTCGTAAACGAGTTTCGTAAACGACAGTCTCCTTCCAGTAATTTCAGTAATCGCTAGTAACTTGAGTAACCTGCGAATAATGTCAGAAATTTTTGAATTTCGGGTAAGCAAAACCGCAGAAAATGGCTCTTCTTAAAGCGCTCGTGTGAAGCAGATGAGGCAATTTGTTCATGTACGAAAACTGCTCAGTTGTGAGAATATGAAAGGATGAAAGTTGGACTACTCGTCTTTTTCAGTGCAAGTCCACTTAGAAAGTTTAGTGACTCTGAGTGACGCAACTTCTCATGTGACAAGGGCACATGTCACAATATGACAAAGTTTGATGTGCAGGCATCTAGAATTTGATGTAGTGCGGATCAGAAAGCTCGGTGATGCCAAACTTGTTCGCTGTCACATAGATTGAGGCTAAATAAGCGTAGGGACTGACTGAAAGCATAGCATTACATTTACATTGCTGATGAGGTCGGGTCCTGCTCAAAACACCCATCCATTCCTTCTGGGTAGAATAACTTCATTGGTTCACATTAGAGAAGTTAAAGTTGCCACCCCGGGTGTAGCTTACTCTTCGAAAAATCCCACTCCCAGTTACCAGTGCATGCAAGATGACCATTCAAATGCTAGTACGATCCCAAACGGAAGTTGAGCGCGTGGCGCGTACTTCCAATGCTTTGACTTCTATGCTTTGATTGTAGGTCACGGCTCTGAACTGGGCAGAATAATGGTGTATGTAGTGTATCGAACAGAGACAAGTTTATTTATTCCTTTCCCATAAATAAACAAACATAAATATTAAAGTATTTTGGAGTGGCTGTGTCAATAGGCTGTAGCGGCCCTCATGAATGCCTAGTGCTGAAGGGTCAGAGCCGATGGCGTCAGTTTTTGTTGATAAACGGCTTTAGCTCACATTCAAACGTCTGTGGATTTGGCGTATATGGATGACAGCAGCAACGGCAAACGGAACCATTTGGTCTGGAATTTGATTATATTCATTATACATATAATATAACATCGTGTCAGGCTGTTATAAAAGCTCTCCGCTACTTAGTTCCCCACGACGCGAAGTTTTTGGAGAATCATTCCCGAAAATTTTGTCAGAAACATATGGGAAGGATGGGCAACGATCTCGATTATTAGCAAGTTTGTCTTGTCATTCCAGTATCATCGTGGTCACAGAAGTCTTCAACTTGGCTCCAAGTGTGTTTGACTGCTTCTACTTTATGAATCTTAGTAAGAAATTCTCCAGAGCCATTGATGCTACAGGAGCCCTATGTGAGAGGGTGGGTCCTCCACGGCCTCATAAGATCAAACGTATAGATATGCAAGTTCAGAAACGGCGACTTTGATTTGGGCGATGAGCTGGAACCAGGTCGATCGATATGGGTAGAAAGCATCGTTTGCATTTATTTAGGGGAGATCCTCGACGATTTTGGCGAGGGAGACCCCTGTGACACCTCGGTATGAACCATCTTGATCGCCTGGGAAAAGAATCGAAATATGGAGCTTCGATACCTCGTTATTGGAGTAACCACCGGGCTCGAACAGGAGGGAACCCCTACTTGAACTTATCGACATTCCGGTGGCTATTTGCCTGGATCGGCAACGGTCACTGGTCACTGAAATGGGATGTAAATGTGAGCCGCGCCAATGGCTTGGTCATGGCATTTCGACATCAAAATCTGGACTCCAAGGGAACACCAATGTTTGGTATAACTGCAAAGTGGTCATCTATGAGACTGCTCCCAAGGAATTCTTCTGTTAGCTGCCGAAGTCTATTGCACCCAGCTGGATTGCTTCGCTGCAACTTTAAAAGGAAAACATCTTCTATTTCCATGGCAATACTCGTCCACATATTGCGAGGAAGACCCAGCAAAAAGTTCAAAGCTCAGGACCTCTCCTCCCTCTAAATTATAAGATTTAGTACCCACGCAATACTACTTGTTTCTGTTGCTATCGAATAATCTGAAGGATAAAAGTTCCGGTGACCGACACCAACTCTAAAGCCGACCGTGCGACTTTTTCGCCTAGAGATCCTTGAAATTTCTACGATTTCTCCATCGTCCTGAGCTTACGAGGGGCCCACAGATGAGCACTACCCAATTTATTGGGAATGTATGGGGAAAACAGCTATTTTTTGCTCTGTTTTCTCATTGCATGTATTAAACGGAACTGCTAGTGCTGCTTGCGACATGCGCGGTGCTGTCAGTCATTACTGACATTCAAAATTGGCCATGAGGCGGTTTCAGCAAGTAGCCAAGACGACGTCAATCAAAGTGCTAAGGGGAGGCGAAGAGAAGGAATAGAATACCTACCGATGTTGGGGGACACATGAGAGGTAGTCGAGACCATCGATAATCTGTTGCATACTTTCGGTGACGTTGGGTAGCTGTATTTTGGGATTGGGCCACAACTTGCAGTCCGTCATGAATTTCGATGTGCAGGCCTGAAAAACAAGGGACGTTATGTTGGCTTTTAGTAGTTTTGGTAAAACTCTGATTCAGTTAAATTAACACCCGCTTATAAGCCAAGTAAATGGGATCGGAGACAGTAACAGTCCGACAGAACTGATCTGTAGTCAACAGCCCCGCACTATTCAGTTTTTGGGTCACGCAAGCATTCCAATACAACTGGACGCTGTGATACGTATTGCAAGACTAGTACGTGGCGCATCTCAGAACGGTAATTGCAATGCACCTCTTCCCATTGGGTTTCGTGAAAGCTAACAGGTTCCCTTCTCATGACTCTGGATTCAAACATTTTCGAAGGAATTCGTAACAAATAGGACTTTCGTGAACCTGTTTTTGGATTGCCTTAGAGGCTTTTGTGTAGTGAAGGTTAGACAGGACTTTTTGAGACCACAGTATGAGTAGTAGATGAGAGCACAAAGGAAGAAAGCGCAGTTGCCAGTTGTCAAAATCCAAATTATCGGTTGATGGGATAGAACCAGCTTGTCTCAGGAGCTCGAGGGATGGTTGAATCCCCATTCACCTTGCGATCCGGACGTTGAGGTGCCACTTTTGAATGTAACGGGCAAAGGTGGTGTAGTGGCAGGTGGTGCATTACCACACAAGCATGGTGACGAGTTCAATCCCTGGTCGATATCCGCCTAGGCTAACGAAGCCACCATCCCTCCGGGTCGGTTAATTAGTACCATGCTTGTTTGGGAGGATAAAAGGCTTGTACATCGGGTGGCGAGCACAATTCATTTATAGGCCACACATGCATCCACTACTATTCTGAATTGAAGGCGAATGTGGGGTACTATACCTCGGACCTAAGCACCGAGGAATTCTACCTTTCTATCCTTCACAGCAACAGAAAAGTACAACCTTTTCTTTGGTACTCACCTTATTTTGGTCGATTCCCATGCATCGACGTTCGGCCACAAACAAGGGATTGATCATAGAGACGTCGCCACTGAAATTAGGCTGATATTGACATTAACCTTCGCTCAGTAGGTATTGAACGACCTTCTAGGGTTTTTATACCGGTCGAAAGACCCACCGTCGATGGCACTGACGTCCACAGCTCTGTTGATACGAGCACTCACCACATTGTTTTTCGCTGATTGTAATTTCACGTAGGTAGTTGTAGAAATTGTTGAAGGCCTTAGAAAAAGATGATCTCAATTCATTTAGTGCATATCGATCTATCGAACGATGATCTATGTCTAATGGGATTATCTTTCTTGGTTGATCGCGCTAGCCTCAACATAGTATAGGATGACTATCGTTTTTCCGGGTCAACAAACGAAACGATCGTCCAAAGATAACTACTGGACGAAATTCGCGATCCTATCGGCCTACCGAAAGGTCAACTACTATGACTCGTCTGGGCGCTTATGAGAAGATCGAAAGAAGGGACACATCGAAAGAACTAGAAGTACTTGATTTTAAAAAGGAGCTCGTTGGTAACCTACTCACCGTTCCCCATCGATCTTTCAAAAGACGGAAGAAAACATGCGTCCGACAACCTTTTCTTCCGGGCAGCAGCTGATCGAAGTAGGACCGTTGGAATCTGAATATCTTTACTGTAAAACTACTCCCTTAGGTTCAGCGGCTAACAACTTGCCTTTTTTCAGGGCCTTTTAGCCACACACATGGTCCCCATTCGGACCATGATTCACAGTTTGGGGCCTGAATGGGATTCCCGAACATGGCACTTATTTGGCCATCTGAAAACTCATATAATGTTAAGGTGGCTGTTGAGGAATTCGAATGGATAGCACTAAGAATGCGTACCTGTAATGCTGATGGTTGAGATCAATACCAAAGGAAGAAGGAATCTCATTCTGAAAAAATACCATTTCAGATAGTTGAAATTCTGCTGTGAAAAAGGCAAAGCTCGTAAATGAAGAGCTCAGAAGCGTGCGGACGCGGCGCGGAATTACATTCGATGCTTATTGATCCATTGATCTCAACGCGCGCTTGAGGTACGATCTACATAGACTAAAAAGGGACAAAATAGAAATACAATGAAACATCAAGGCCGAGATGGATGGGGAGGATGGGTATGAAGTTTATTAGACAATCCTATTACTAGAAAGTTGAAGAAAATACAAATTATAGTGCCCTTGGTGGAACTGGATGGAACTTTGGATAAGGAAAAGCCAGCAGGATCGAATGAAGCGTGACGGGTTCCCATTGATGGTGATGCCAGGTTGGAACATTCAGAAGAACTCGTCATTGAATAGACCAAGCAGAACGACTGACGACGACCTGTCGGCACCTGAACCAGTGTCGATGTACGAAAAAATTGGTCACTATTGCTATGGGATTAGGACAATGGGATTCGTCATAGCATGGAACGAACAGGAAATAGAGATTGACGGCGACGGAACGAGGATATGGAACAGCAAAAAAACGAACGGCGCTGGCAAATTTTTCGTCGAGGTCTTTCTCAATGTGCAACCTTTCCTGAGCTTGGAAAATAAGTGAACTTCATAAGTCAGTATGTCATATCGGAGAAGTAGCCGTATGGTGAAATTCGGCAAAGTGGGCCAGTGGGTCCCTTTGGTTGGTGCCTAAAATTTGGCATCTTTTCAGACCGGTGACGAAATTAAACAGAATTTCAGCCCCACGATGACTTCGGTTCCCGCCTTTTCGAAGAGATTTATGTTCCTCGGGAAGACATAGTTCAGGATTGAGTGCAGTCAGTGATGCAACTGATCTTCTACTCATATCTCGTCCCCCTAAACACGCTGGAGTAGGGTCAATGAAGACCGGCACTTGCTGGCCGCTCTGTGGTCGACCTCAGCAGCACATTCGGATGTATTCATGAGCTGGTAGTGGCTAAGGCACACAAAGTTCCTTCGACCTTGAGCCGTTACTATTGTACTGAAGCAATCATCCACTGACAATTCACATAGAATACAGACAAATCCTTTCATGACTTCACCTAGGTGATGGAAAAAACTAGAAGAGCCGGGCGTGTTTCAATTTTATTACGCTCCGATACATGAAACGGAAAGGAGTGTGACCGATTGTAGATTTATTGAAACCAAGAGAAAGGGGAAGGTTATGATGATATTGATATTCGTAAGGGTACAATTGTACGGCGGAAAGGAGTGGTACCAATCTTGGCTCGATCATCTAATGCCGTAATCGACGATATCCACAAGACCAACCATGGTAAGGTATTGGAGTGCGCCATGCATTTGACTTCAGTTCTTAGTGGATCTTACTCATGCAATAGTAATTGATCTCATTCGTGCCCTATTCGATCAATCCCGGTCCAATACTATGTTACCATTCGAGTGGTTACGACAAGCGCGACACTCTCAGTTAAGAAGATGCTTGGCTAGGGAAAAAGATGTTTGGCTAGGTTAGTACAGGGCCCACAGCGCAACAACGGAGAGGCATCAGAGAGGATTTATCAATAGCCTGATCTTCGCCTGAGACCGTTCACTAGCAGAAGAACTCGAACTATAGCGCGACATCTGAGAGGACCTATAGCACAACATCTGAGAGGGCCTTTTTCGAGCTTGGGTCCAGTCAGACACAAGTTATTTGATGGGACAAACTTTTGAAAAGTCACGCCTCATACAAGAAGTAGAAGAGCCAAGATTGGCAGTGCTGTTTTGGGCTCTGAGCATTTATGCATTAAGGCGAACATGACAGTCATTTTTTGCAACAACGAAATGATAAACGGCTGTCGGAAGAAAAACTTCCAGAAAGCGTCGCAGTCGTGGACTGAAACTCCAATTTGATAATGTTCTACTATGACGAACTAACACTGTTACACTGTTATGGCATAGAAATGATCGAAAACTATTAAGGCAAGACCGCAATACTCTCCGCAATGATAAAAAACCTATTTGTAGCAGAAGCCTGGAATTTCTTTAACTTTATTGCATGTGCACGCACATGAAAGAAAGAGAAATAAACAACCACTCAAACAACGACATTTCCAGCAATACGAACACAATTCACTATTGAACTATCAAGTCTATTAGAAAGACTATTAGGAAGAACGGTATTGAGATAGTAAGAGCAACAAACAGCGAAAATAAGAGCGGATTAATTCATATGCTCTAACATTTGCCTCTTATTTAAGATAACGATGCAAGATCTGTTTAAATTGAGCTACACTTCTAGGTAAGGCAACTTTCTTGGAGATTTTGAGAAAATCGGCTGAAGCCCTGGCTGAGATAACTTCTGACGATGTTGATGATAGGTCATACAGGCAGTTATTAAAGGTACTGTTCACGAAAAAATGGTTTCGGAGATTTGCACTTGGTTTGAATTCGACGTTCCCTCTGATACCATTTGTGCAGGA